AGCGACATATTATTTGGAGGCGGCGCTTCTTCTGCTCCAAGGAAACTACTTTAATGCATTTTTCCATTATTGATCTCTGTTGTAATTTTGACTGTTAGAGTGAATTTAGTTCAAACGTGCTTTTTTCATACTAGGAAAGAGAACAAAAGAAACATTAGGTTAAAAAATAAAGTCGTCTTTTTGTAGAGCAAATAACATTGTTGTTCAATCAAAATTCTTTTACCTATGGGCTTATAACTGCTTTGAAGTAGACAATAGTACTCAATTTTTTGCATTTTTTTCTGTGGTCTTTTTATTTTAAGCTAATTAGTTTCTTAGCCGCGTTTCAACAGAGATGACGTTAAACCATTTTTATTTTTATTCGGCAGATATTTTAATTTAATCCGGAGTTCATTTGGAAACCAGTATTTATAAATGGCAGCTGACTTGACATCAATTTAAAAGGTTAGTGCGCAAATTTTTTGAATTGCAGATGATTTTATTATCTAAAATGACTCAAGTTATCATGTTTTAAAGAAAAATGTAAATTATTGTTCTCAAAGTGCGTTTTTTGAGAAATCAATGAAAATTTTAAGTGGGACGGTGGTGCTTGAAATATATCTGGACATTTTTATTAAATCGGGGAACACATTTTTTTTTCATTCGCGAAGCAAAATTTTCAATATAAAGTTCTAACTTAGTCTTGCTTGAGTCTGTATCGCCTTTTCGATGTAAGTTCAACAAGCAAGTTAAATACTACTAGAATTGATTTTTTTAAATTTGTTGTTGCTCACATTTTTCTCAACGTGATAAAAAAACGCGATTTCATTTTCAAAACGACTTAACTTTTCATCTTTTAGCTAAATCTATTTTTGGCAACATCAGCTGAAGTGTTAAGTGGGACGGTGTTGCTTAAAAATTATGTGGGACATTTTTTATATCATTAAACACGTTTTTTTTTCTATCGCAAAATGAGATCGTTTATTTTTAATTTTAATCTATGTTAGTCACATTGCGTTTTGGATAAACACTTGACACAGCTATAATATGATATTTTTTTTTCATTTTTTATAGCTCTAGTTTTTCTCAACGAGATAAAAACATGCTCAGCAGTTATCATTATACTTAATCATTTAAATAAGAAATAATTTAAATTTTTTCCCTCAGTGTACTCAAATATTTCAACTTATGTCACATTTATGCGACTTATTTGACGAGTGTAATCGTTTTCAGCTAAAAATGTCTGAAATGTGAAAGCACTTAAATTTGCAAATTATTCATTTTAATTGTATGTTTGCTATTTTAAAATTGCCAAGCAGGTATTTTCATTTAGCTAGCAATAATCTGTAACTTGGTCAAAATAGTCTATTGGCTTGACTTTGCGTGCTTAGTCGGTTAATTAATGGGGACGTTGTCATACAATTGATCGGATGAGAAATAACTTGTTTTTGTTCATTGAGCAACCAGGCCACCTAATGCAGTTACCTGCAAAAGTAGTTTGAGCCTTCGAAGCTGCTTTCTAATTGTAGACAGATTATATGTACGTGACGAAACTTGAACCCCTGAAAAAATATGTAACCGAATCATGAACTAAAGATGAAATTTAGTCCAGATTTACGATGTAGTAGTTTATATTGAGCAGAAAAGTCAATACTATTGCTCATCAGTAGATGTAACGCCAAAATTGTTTTTGTTATCTTAAGATTTTGTTTGATTTTCGATTTGCCTAACAAGATAGTAGAGTTTTCTCTGATTCTTAATAGCATTAAAACATTGGTGCACACTCGTTCACTCTTTCTACCTTAGGTCCCGCCACCGCGCCGACGAGTTTTGTCCAAGTTGGATCAAAGAAATCTACGGCTATTTCACGACTTCAAATTATTAAATCCTGAAATCCCTTGTTTTATCACAACATATCACCTCAAACCATTTCCTGAAAACTTTGTTGGATGTCTGGATGAAAAGAATTTCATTTATGTCTAGATCCTGATTTTGCATAACTATCACAAAAAAATAGAAGAAGTTTTCATTTTGAATTAATCATTTCTTTCTTTGTTAAATATAAGCATCTAGTTCAATGGGCCTCTCTTCAATTGAGATACAGGTAAACATTTGCAATTTTCGAAATATATTTTGTTGATGTCTTTCAGCAAATGAGTATGCAATACTTCATAAGAAAAACAAATATGGGATCTACTCAGCAATCCCCACTTCGAGAAAGGGTGGTAGGTTGTTAAATAGATGAAGTTGGTTGATTTTTCGACCAATTCAGAATGCAGCAAAATTAGAATTTTCAATAGAAAGCTCTAGGGTGCTAATGTACTATTTATATATAGTAGGGTTGGGGATTCTTTAAAAGATACTATAGCGGGGGGGGGGGGGTTGTTAGGTTGTTAAGTAGATCCGAAAAATGATTATTCTTGGAACAAAGTTTCAAAAATGTGCAGCTTCTTGATTTGCCAATTTTCAGTAAGTTGTTGCTTTTGTTTTTTTCTTCTATGATATTGAAGAAAATTTTAATGATGTGAAACCGAACTTTTTGCTCGAAACCCCATTTTGTTCGAAAAATGTTTTCAGCTAATTGTGGAACTATGGCCTAGGATGCGTTTTTCATGCAAAATCAGGCACCACCAAGAATTATTTGTCAAAATTCGGATTCCTGAATGAAATTTTGAAAAATTTGACTCAATGTCGAGAAAAGTTGTTCTGAATATCTACTTTTCATGGGATTGAATTTTTGTCATGGATTGAATATTTATTTCATCGCTCAGATCCAAATTGTTCATTGTAGAATTTTTTTCAGCCGTATTAGAAGTAACATTATCTTTTTTGGAGCAAATTTCAATTCACTGTTCAAAAAAACAGCAGACAATTTAAAAGAAAAACGACCTTTTTTTACATTTCAAACTTTTTTTTGTGGTCTGAGTATTCTGCGCTTTTTGTAGAGCCGTCGGCTACCCTTCTTTCAAATTTGCATATATTAAAAAATTGAAAACAGCTTTCTAAATCTGTATCTGACATTTTAAGCGCAGTAGTCTGATAGCATCTGCGTTTAATGGCAGAACGGAGAGTGAATTTGAAAATGCATTTGTTAATTGGCAACGCTAAATCGCTTCAATATGCCTCATTTGACCATGTGAAATTTCTCCTTTGTCCATTGTATTTTGTCTCCCTTCCGCCCTTTGCCCCTATTTCCCCTGCCGTCTTTCTATTCTAGCCCCGAACAATTAGCTAGCTTCCTCTTTCACTGAGGTGCGTCCTTCCTTCTCGCCATGATCCTACTCTGCTGACCATCTACGTCTTCAAAGACCCCCGCCCTAATAGTTTGCCTCCCGCCTGCCCGTGACACCTTTAATAGTCGCCGCCCAGAAGCGTGCAATTTCACCGTCCAACCGCCTATACGTTATTGTCATTTAGCGAGGAAGTTCAGTTTAGAGCCACTGAATTGCTTCTCATCCTGCTGATGGTTCGACTTGCTCTAATATTTAAACATTGTGCACAATAGAATCAGCTATGGAAGAGCTGTTAAGAGATTGGACCATAAAGTGCACAAATGCGGCAAGCGTAAAGGGTTTCCCCAAAAAATAATTGGCTCCAAATTAAATTACTGCTGTTTATACAAAATTCTTCAAAATTGGGCGTGTTTTTTTGTTCAAATACAGAGCCTTGAAGTGGGAATTTTTCTTCTAAATTTGATTTGGAGCTAAATAGTACCAGTAATGTCAATTGGTTTGCTTGTTTTTTTTCTGTAATAGTTATTTAATTTTATATATTTTTCCTCGTACGATAACTGAAGTAATCTGCCATTTAAGTCAGCGTACTTCCTGATTTCCGCCCTTTAAACCGCTTCTCTGTTTAGCGCTATAGAAACCATTTAAATTTCCATTTTTCCAAACAGATCTTGTATTATAAAGGAGCTTTAAATTCTTACTTTTATGACCAAACTCTTCTTGGTGTTATGAAACCAGTAAAAAGTGAGCAGAAGCTGCGTTGAAATAAATACTTTCCTGCTGTAAAGGTATTAGACGACCCTCAAAAATTTGAATGTACTTCATTCTGAGCAGTACTAACCCGTTAATGGCACCAATTCCCGTTGAATTAGAATTTATTTTTTGATCCATTATCATCTTTATATTATCCATAGTGAAAATCAAAATAAATGCGACTTTTCTAACTTAAAGCTTGTCTCTCTTTGCGAGACTTACTCATCATCCTTGTCAAAAAAGGTTATTACTTTTAATCGAATTTTCATTATTTTTACACATACCGGTGATTAAAAATAATTTAACATTCAAGTGTCACTGAACTTGGTGAAGACACTTACGTACGTCGTATTGTTAACTACATTTTTTCAAAGGCTGTTTTTATACAGCCCGAATTAATGCCTTGAGCTCAAAATTACAAATGTATTTTACTTGTTATCGTTTTTAGCAAAGTCATGGCGGGCTCAAGTTCACCACTTTCATTGTAACTCGCAGCATAAGCAGCGATTTAACCTGGCTCAGAAATCAATCCAAATTGAGTTGAGACACGCTAGTGGGTACAAATCAAGTTTTACCAGATGAGAAGAAACACTTTACTTTGTATTCGACTTTGCGCTGGGAAGACGATTTTGCAATCAAATGAAATTTCCATTTTTATAATTTTTGAGCCAAAAACTATGTCATAAATCTAAAAAAAAACATGCCAACACAACAGTTTTTTCTTTAATTTTATATTCATTAAAAATGTGTAAATTTTGCTCCCTCTGTTTTTAACGCGGATTAACCTATTGCAACTGGTTTAAATTTAATTTTTCAGTTGAATAAGAACTTGCATCCAGTTTAATCAATTGAATTAGTTTAACGAAGGAACTGTCATTGGAAAATTTTCTTGAAATTCTATGAGGTGTTAAGAAAAAACTTCAGTTTCAGAAAAGTTTGGGATTTGGATTTCGAAAAAAAAACTGTTTTTTTGTTTTGGTTTCTGGAATTCATTATCAATTTTTTTGTTGATCTGTTGGTGACAATATTGTTCAAAAAATTAAATTTTTATTCACAATTGTGTTGATCATAATAGTTTTTGGATAATATTGAGTTTTTTTGCACCGACTCTCATAGAAAACTACGAATATGCATGCGTATATTCCTGCGACTTTCTAAACAGCAAGTTTTGATTGATGCATTTTTGATCTGAAAGCTATTACTGACCTCAGTTTAAATTCCAAAACGATTTTTCGTCTATGATTATGTTTAAGAGTCGATAAGGTAGTTCAAGCTTTATATAGGTCACATTGATTTTTTTTCAGAAACAGTCTCAAAATTTGTTCAGGCTCAAATTTATTTTTTTTTGCGGTTTGGTTTTTGTCTTCTTTTCAAGCAAGGTCACTTCATATCTTTTGTTAAAATGTAGGCAAACTCAACTATCGAACAGCGAAAGCGTAAAGGTCACGAAAAATGTGATCAAATTCTAATTTCGAAAATGGAAAATATTTATCAGATTTCCTAGCGAAATGAAAATTTTAGCTATTGATCCAGTTTTCTCAAATTGGTTAAATATATCAAAAAAGTGGCAACCATAAGTTGTTTCAGAACTTTCAAGAGCTTTGATACCATATATTTTTCCGTAGACTTTCAAAAGATGAGATTTTTCCAAAAAAGCTAGTCAATTGTTTTTCTTAAGTTGCATTCATCGACTCTGTTTAGGTGTTTATAAATTGCCAAACTAATTCGTGCAAGTGCTCCAATTTTCATTCAACGCGGTGCGTAGTCGGTGATACAATCCGGTGCAAACATCAGTCCAAAGTGATTTGGGAAAAGCTAATTGCACCAAATAATGTATAACTAGACTTAAAACATATGTACTTTAAATTGCGTGCGTCTGGGAAGAAGATCTCAGAAAAACAACTTTAAAAAAATGATAAATCAAACTATCGAAAAACAAGTTTAGATATGTTAAAATGGTAGCCGGAAGTTTCAGAGCTTTGATAGAAGAGGTCTTGTTAAACTTAGTAAGTTTGGATTGCATGAACTTGCTGGTTTTCTAAGGTTTTCCGTCATTTTTGGCGAATGGTGGTACACGAAGTATTTCAATTTATTCCAACATAAATTGAAGCCGTTTTTTTCATCTCATTTCATAATCTATCGCTCACAAAATCCAATTTGATTTAATTTTTTATAAACATTGCCTGGTCTTATTCTTCCTACACGCGTTCATTTAGATTTTCCCTGCGTCATCAGTTGCGATAATCTGGATTAAGTTCAGTTGAGATGATGAAATTTTCAATTGCCAGTTACGCTGGAAGTGAACCGCACGCTTTATGTTGGTACTATTTCAATTCAACTTGGATTGCGCAGCACTGGCTGAAGTGAAGGGAAATCCTTGATAGTAACAACAAAGCTCTCTCTGAGAGGGAACATTTGGCTGATTAAATAGTGCACTTTTGTGATTTTCTTCCGTTAAATTTGCTTTTTTCTGATGATCGTTCTTTTCTATTCACGTGGCCTATTGCATAGGGGTGACATTTGACATTTCTTTGAGAATTTGGAGAGGGACCTTTTTAGATTTACGTAATTTAATGTTATTAAATAAATAACCGCTCTGAACAAAAAAGAAAAAAAGCAATGTTGTATTTTATTCAGTAAACCAAGCGAATTTATTTATTTACGTCACATGCTGTTCGCATTATTAATTCGGATGAGATTAAGGCGATTACTAGTAAGCATGAGAGCAATGTCGAATGCAAATTAAACTTATCTGCCGCCTTTTTCCTCCCAATAACAACTGCCTGAATTCACAATCTCAATGCCACCAACGTGTTTTCTGCTGCATGTAATTACCACGAGGCCATCTGCTTGCTTGCTTTTCAAAATTTAAGCAAAAAAAAACGATTAACTTCAGTAATTAGAAGTAATCCCAGCTTTTACAAGACACGCAGAGAAATGTGACAGCTCGAAAAGGCGTATTAAAAAAATGGACTGTATTAAAAAAAGTCTGAAATGTAATGTGCTTTTAGTGCAATCGATAAATTAATCATATATTGAAAGTTATTTTGTTTCAGCATCCGACCATCGACTTCCCTACCATGGTGAGTACTATCATGCGAAGCAACAGCGGACAACAACCCAATGGGGTTCACAGTGCATCCCCCGACCTCTCATCTCCGGGCAAAGACAGCGGGGTTTACTTGAACGGAGGCAGCGTCGCCAGCGGAAACTCGCCGGCAAAGAATAGCACGAACGGTGTGGCGGTTTCGGGAAACAACGGGATCCCTTGTGATTCCTCCTCTAACAACTCCCAGTCGTCCGCGGATTCCCCGAAGTTGATAACACAGTATTGCCTCAGCGGCGACGACCATAGCGGGGAAAAATTGAGCAAAACTAACTTGTACATTCGGGGTCTTTCAGAGAACACCACCGATGCTTACTTAGTAGAGATGTGCAAAGCATATGGGCAAATAGTGTCAACCAAAGCTATTCTAGACAAAAACACCAATTTGTGCAAGGGCTACGGGTTCGTTGATTTCGCCTACGAGGGTGAAGCGTTGAAAGCAGTTGTAGCGCTTCAAAATAAAGGGGTTTTGGCCCAAATGGCTCGACAGCAAGAACAAGACCCAACTAATCTCTACATCTCAAACTTGCCTAAGTCTTTCGATGAGAAGAAACTGGAAAAACTTCTTAAAAATTACGGCCATGTGATTTCAACCCGCATTCTCAGAGACAATTCAACCCAGAGCAAGGGAGTTGGGTTTGCGCGTATGGAATCCAAAGAAATTTGTGAGCACATTATTGACAAACTAAACGGAAACCCTCTGCCGGGCCAGCCCCACCCACCGCCCGAGAAGGAACCTCTTCTAGTGAAGTTTGCAGATACTGGGAAGAAAAAGAAACCGGAAACGAAGTTCAGAAACGGAGAGGAATTTTTGACGAGTTTGACAGCACTGGACCCGTCTATTTTGACACCTAATGGGTTCTGTTATCACAGCATTGCCAACAACAGAATGACGTCAGGGCCTGTCGCCGCAGCGCTGCCTCTGGCGGCGGCCACGAACCCCGCATTCGCGGCTGCTTTCCCACACCATCTTCCACTCGCGGCCGGATATCCCTCGAACTCACCTAACGGAGCACCCGGCCAACTTACCCATCACGGTCACTTAGGGAACGGGGCTTACCCTCCGATTGCCGCACTTTTGGGCCAGCAGTCAATTGCGGCAGCCATGCAGCAGCTCTCGCCCAACGGGGCCCATCAACCTGCGGCCGGAATTCCAGCGGGACTCGCGGGACAGCCTTCCTACCTGCTGTCAACAACCAACAATAACCAATACTCACAAGGTCAGTATTCGCCGTTTGATTCTCTATTTATTAAAATTGAATGGAATATCTAAATTCATTCAAATACTTTGATTGGAAGCTCTGGGAAAAAAAAACTTTGATTAGAAGTTCTGGAAAAAATCTGCAAAACATCTGCAAGCAGACTTTTCAGAATTTCTCTAACTCTAGTGGAAAAAATGAAAAGACATTTTATTTTTCAAAACTTGTTATCGGATATGAGTGGTTCGATCAATATTTCATAATTGTAGGCATCCACCTGGACCAAAACTTAATCTCTGGCACCTCTGGAGCTCAGAGCAACGGGGCTCTGATGACAACTACCACTGCCTCGGGCCAAAGTGTTGCCAATGGACACGGAGTCTCGCCGACGATGCCGAACGGAAACGGGTTCTCGGGAGCCACTTCGGGAGTCCCGGTTTCCATCGCCTATTCGAGTCACTTGGCTCATTTGGCACATCAGATGAACCATATGGCAATCACCGGAAATGGATCCCAAGCTGTCAATGGTCTAAGTGGGCCGCATCCTAACGCACTGGCTAACCACCATACGCATTATTTGACCACTCAGCATCCTTTCTCAGCTACCGGCTGCGGACCGTACGGGACTGCAGGATACTTGCCAGTAGCGTCAGCCCAAAGCGGGATGGCAAACGGGAACGAGCATCAACACCTGGCGGCGTTATACGGACAACAGGCGAACCCCCATCATCTGCAAATATCTCTGGAAGATCACCTTAAACAGCAGCAACTCAACGGACTCGTAACTACAGTTTCTACAAGTCAGGATGTCAACGGTGACTACACAACAGCCCTTTCGCAGTGAAGCAAACTTCAGAAAACCACAAGAGAAAACTTTAGTCGCTACTAATAATACAAACTTTCCAGTCTTTCTAACTTAAAGCAACTAAGAGTACAACCCCCACCCCTCCCCCCATTTGAACTCTCTGCGCTTTTGACAATTTTCAAACGCTTATATTGCCCTCCTTCCTTAGAACCTCTGCTGCGCAATAGCAGTGATGTTTTAGCAGAATTAGTTCTCACATTTCGGTGATGTCCAATATTGTCCTTTTTGCTGTAAACAGACACGACAGGTGTTGTATGTTTAATTTAATTGCATTATATGTCAAATATTATTACTTTGTGCTCTTTGTTATTTCTCAATATTATTGCTCAGTTTTTGAGTTGTCCAATATCGATGTTTAACTCTTCGAATGGTATTAAAATGCGGGTCAGCCAATTGCAGATAATACTTCATTACTTCATACGTGATAGTGCATTTAAAGTTTGGTTTTAAGGCCGCGAACGATATTAACATTTTTTTTCTGATCTAATATGAAGTTTCGAGCTTATGTCACTTTTGTGTTAGATCTTTTTTGCTTAGTTCCATGTCGAGAGGATAGTTAGATTAAATATTTCTTAAATCGAGGGCAACGTTGCTGATTATTTTACCCTTCTTAAAATTAAGTCCTAATTTCACTTGAAAATACAGCACGGTTTCTTCTACTGATGTTGGACTCAATTTGAGAAATTTGGTCCCCATGGTTTGATAGTTGGCCAAAAATTGTTAGTTTACTGATTGAAATCCACAATATTTCAGTGTGTAAAGTGACTAATTTTCCAAATTCCTTTTAATATCTCTTTATTTTTATTTCTTGTGCTCTTAAAGATAAAACCAAAATGATTTAAAATTGCGATTTAATTTGTTTAAAAAGATGATTTAAAAATTTTATTAATTTTTCTTTTGAAGTTCCTCATTTTCTTTCCATATATTGACATTCCCATTTTGCTATTGAAAACGGCCAGAATACATTCTTCGTCTAAATTATGAACTGCAGCAGTAAATTTTGCCGATGCTGATATCACTCGGCAAGTATGTACTCTATGAGTGATAGTGGACTTGTCATTTCAACTGCGCCGTAATTTAAAATCCGATTGTCATTTTGCAGTTTAATAAAACTGACGTTTAAACTTTTGCAGTGAGGAACAAATTTGAATATTGAATCTTTCATATTATCCAATTCTTTTGAAAATAAAAATGTCCATGAATGTTTCAGTTTGGATTTAATGAAGCCTGCCAAAACTTGAATCAAAAATGTCAAAAAAATCTAAAATAACTATCTGGCAATTGCGTTTGATCAAAAACCGTTCAAGTCATCACTTTGGAACAAAAAATTTGTAGCGTGCAAGAGCGAAGCATATATAACCGGCGATTCTACCAGGCCTTATCGAGTTTAACATAATTGCCAAACTTCGAATTGCAAAATTCCATCCTGCTTGTGTGTGATGTTTGAAGCCCTGTTAATTTTCACCCCTTAATTGAATTTAAAAAACTAGCTTATAATAACAATAGTAGCCGCTTTCTGTGAATGTAGCACAAGAGTAGCAACCACATCAGCAATTCAAAAACAAAATGTTTTCAAAAAATTTGGCTAATTTCTGGCATAGCTAAAATTTTTTTGATTCTTTAAGATCTAAAATCGAAATAGCTCAAACAATTAAAATTACAGGCTTTGAGTGATTAAGTACATTTACTTAACTAAATGAAAATCTGCTCTTAACACGGAAACATTCCGATCAATTTTTTTAAACACTGCGATCATTTTCCGGTATTTTTTAAGAATCCAAATCACGAATCGAAATGACTTACCGTTAAACAACACTAGAATACTCCACCCTAGGCCGTAAGTGGTCGGCGTTGTTCCGCCACCCTTACGTACGAGGGTCAGTTCTATTTTAACGAGCCACCGCGAGGTTTTAACGTTATGCTTTTGACCTGCAAAATGACGATTTCGCAAAGTTTACGCTACGCTATTTTTGCTCGGGTTTTTTTCCATTGATACTTGCTTCTTAAGTTAGGGAGAACACAAAACTGGAAGTTCAATTTCCATTCACTTCTCTGGGAGATATCCCATTTTTTCCGGAGCATCGGCGAATTAAACAGAAAATGAATTAATTTTTGAAAAATTTTTTATGTTTATATTTCAAATATCAGCATAGCCGAGCATATATGTTCTGATCCACGACGGCGGATGACCAGGTTCAAATTCCGATCGGAGACAATTTTTAATCACTATATTCATAAAGGTCGGTTGGCGAGTGTATCTGTCGCGCAATCGCAAGCTGAGTAGAGAAATATGAACCTTCATCCGTGAAACCTTTTTTAAGTTACCAAACATAAGTTCACTTTGAATATCGAAATGAAACATTCATATCTTCATCGAAATGAAACATTCATATCTTCTAAGCTAAAAAAAAGATAAGCACCGGCAGTTTTCAGTGGTACCACTCAATTGATCAGTTGTTTCGAATATGAATAAAATAGAGGCTGCTCATTTTGATTTAAAGAAATTGAAGTTTTCTTCGCTATGATTTAAATATTTTCGTCGCTAAATGATTTTTTATCCTTTAAAAACATGTCTCTCCTCTTTCGTGACTGTCATTAACTGTGGCCATACTAGTACAGATATTGAAATCGTGAAGCAACGTTCCAATATACCAGAGTCAGTTCGAGTCTCAAAACAGACAGTTCATTTTTTTAAATGTTTTTTTTTACTTTGATTGGTTTGAAGTTAGTGAAATTTTAAAAATAAAATGTCTGCACTGTCTTTCAGATGATTGAAGTTGCACTAATATATCAGGCTGTTTCACATCCCCTTGCGGGCTTCAGCGAAACAGCCCTACAGACAATTTTTCATCTAAGTTTCCATCGTGCAATGTTCTTGTGATTCGATTGTTCAAATTATGCTGGTAGTTAAGATAATCGCAATGTTCTTGGCACAGTGAGTAGCACTGGTAATTGATTGGCAGCACAACGGAGTTCTACTCCATATTGGAACTTAAAATCAAGAATTGACATTACAGTGATGCACTTGTGAAGAGGTAAAGCAAAGCGGGCAAACAGCAAAAAACCAGGAACCCTGACTGCTCCATCAAGCCTGCACTTGGTTTGTCTACGCTCTTTTGTTTTTCACATTTGCCAAAAAATTCAATTGCTTTTTCTCGACAATAGGTAGCAACTAGTGAAATTTTGTTTTCAAAAACACATCATAAAAACATCTAATTCGACAAGCTGGAGCTAACTTTTTGAAAAAACCAAGTACTACAGAGCATACAAGTATCTGGAAACAAAATTATCTGTTTTACATAAAATCTTTCAATTTCCGCAAAAACTACACTGTTTGGATGCGATTGCAGAGTTGTCTAGATAAACGAAAGAAATTGTCTACATATAAGCAAAAAACTAGAAAATCTGTTTCCATTGAAATAACAAAAGCGTTCGAAACGCTCGCTTAGTTCAATTTGCTTAAAAGGTAGAATTGTGCGGTGGTGGTTGTAGTGATTTAATTAAAAGGTACTTGAAGCAACGTATGCAAATTGCTAAAAATAAAAATACCCAATTATTTGGATAAATTTAAACTTTATAGCCTCTTTTTCTCAATTAACATGAGGATTTGAAAAAAGTTCGCAAGACCAGCAATCTTTTCGTGGATGGTTTTGACGTTCTCTCGATTAATTCTGAATTGTCCTCTCAATTATTTCAATCACGAACTCAACGGTCTACAGATCGGTTAATTTTTAATATTGTATCGCTCAATACTAATATTACTGTTTACTTTATTTTATCAGAAAATTTTGATTTTTTTTTTATATATCTATGATTAATAAAACTCTTAAAAATGCTTCACCACACTAATATCTTGATGTTTACTTGGATTCTCAACTTACCTCTGCATCCCGTTTAGAATTATGCTACAAATCTTACTTAACTTGGTGATATCGTTTCTAAAAGAACTCAATGTGTTCTATATAAAGTACTACTCAAATGCTATTGCATCAGCCACAAATTGTTTTTGCCGCTTCTTGTTATTCAAAAATTGTATTGCGAATTTTTGAAAAAAAAAACTAAAATTTTTCGCTTATATTTTCAAAAGAAAATATTTAATGGTTCATGAGCAAAATGTATACAGGCTGATCAATTTGGTTCTTTGTCTGGTCCTCACTGAGAAACATTTTTGAATAATACATGCCAATTTGAAACTTCTGCGTGTTCGAAACGACAAGCCAGTTTGAATCTTTTCAAAGAACAAATCACGGAAGCAAAATTCAAACAGTATCATTTACTCACCGGGGGCTCTTAGTTATTAATTTTACCAATTTACATTTGCAAGATTTTTTGAATGGCAGTTTTGCTTTGTAATTTTTTGGAATGAGGAAACTAGACAAGTAGCTGTTTATTTGCTTTGCAAGTTGCTTCAGTCATTGCTTTAAATGTTGTGTTTATTTCGATTGAGTCGATTGATTGATACTGTTCACGAAGAACATTTCTTGACGCATTAGCTCTAAATTGCTCATTTTAACCAGGGGCGGATTTAGGGGGGGGCGGGGGGCGGACGTCCCCCCTCAGGGATTCGACCCCCTGCCGACCCAAAGGGTCCCCCCTTTGATACTTTTTCAGAAATCCATTTTTGGCCGACCGACCCTAAAATTTTTCTAAAGGCGCCTTTGGCGCCAATATATACTTACTTTGAGGGGGAGCGCGCGCCAAAAAAACGCGATTTTTTTGTCAAAATTTTTCAAAAATTGCCCAAAAACGGCTTTTTTAACTATTTTTTCAAAAATTTGCCTGCGCCGAAGAAAATTTAGCCGCCAAAGTAGGGGCAAAACAGTGCTTTGGGAGAGCTCGCAAAATCAATTTGGTCGACCTAAAAAAAAAAAAGGTCAAAAAAATTTTGGAAAATTTTTTGAAAATCCGCCCCCCCCCCTCGAGAAAATCCTAGATCCGCCCCTGATTTTAACCCTCTTTGTTGATACAATTTTATTCCAAATTTTGTTGCGAAAGTTACGGAATATTTATGCTCGGGGTGTTTTTTTTCCTTCAGACAGATTTTGACTTTTTAACTAAGATTTTTTGACGGAATTTCTTTATATCAGCAAAAAAGTATTGTTGTCCTGAGCTCAAATTTGAAAAGATATTTTACCTGAGATCATTTTTCATAAAACTATGAGGGTTTTAAAATTGTCAGGATGGCCAGTTTGGGACAATTAACGCGCGATATATTTCGCGCTAATATTGCCTAAGCGGAAATTGATTACCTTGTAGAAATTGGTCCAAATTGGTTGAAACACTCTTTTTGTCATAATTTCTACGTTACTAGAAGCGAAATTTATCACTTTATACTTTATATGTCGTGTGGGAGGATGATTTAAACAAACTCGAAGTTTGTGTAATTTTTTTTTCAAAAAATTCATCATTTTTTCTAAAGCGAACACTGGCCATTAATTATAGACTTAATTATAAACCATTAATTACAGACCATTAATTACAGACCATTAATTACAGTCCTTTATAGACCATTAATTACAGTCTGAACATTCAGGGTTTTGCCCTGATATGAGCAGTCTTGTTGTTCCGACTTTCGATACGAAAGTAACGGAATATTTGTGCTCGGGGTGGGTTTTTTTTTTCTTCAGACAAAATTCGACTTTTTAACTAGCCATTTTTGACGGAATTTTTTTTTATATCATTGAAAAGGTATTGTTGTCCTGAGCTCAAATTTGAAAAGATATTTCACCTGTGATCATTTTTCGTAAAGTTATGAGGGTTTAAAGATTGCCATTTTGGCCATTTTGACCAATTTGGGACAATTAACGCGCGATATATTTCGCGCTAATATTGCCTAAGCGGAAATTGATTACCTTGTAGAAATTGGTCCAAGTTGGTTGAAACACTCTTTTTGTCATAATTTCTACGTTACTAGAAGCGAAATTTATCACTTTATACTTTATATGTCTTGCGGAAGGATGATTTAAACAAACTCGAAGTTTGTGTAATTTTTTTTTCAAAAAATTCATCATTTTTTCTAAAGCGAACACTGGCCATTAATTATAGACTTAATTATAAACCATTAATTACAGACCATTAATTACAGACCATTAATTACAGTCCTTTATAGACCATTAATTACAGTCTGAACATTCAGGGTTTTGCCCTGATATGAGCAGTCTTGTTGTTCCGACTTTCGATACGAAAGTAACGGAATATTTGTGCTC